AATTTATGTCCTGCAATTAATTTGGCTTCGGCTTGCCATAGATGTGTTTATAATTCTCCCACGGCTTTCCGCGGAAGACCTGTTTGCATTCCTTCTGGAAATTCCTGAATTTGTCCTATTGTGGTTTATTTTGGATCAGACATCAATGGCACCATAAACATAGAATCGAAGATATAGACAGAATCAATATTATTCAATTATTATTAATCAATATCATTATTCAATATTTATGAGGAACTTGTGCCAACTTTACAACCGCGCATGGCTGTAGAAATATTTGCGCATGAAATGTACTCGGTGAGGCATTTCGATGTTACACTCCTGATCAGCTGATACCTTGCGGTCTCCATTCGTCTTTGCACGTTGAAGGACGTAGTGTACGTTTTACCTCTTTATATTTTTGGATTAGTTTCTTGAACAAGGTGTCACCATGGGGCTCATAGGACATCAATTACTGAGGTACAAATAACTTATTGTTACTGTATAGGTAGTATTGAACATAAAGTGCATCAGTTATCCTAGGCCTAACCTCTGTTTTTCATTCGGCTTTCTCAATTTCTTTGTGGATTTAAATTCATCTTTTCGTTTTATTACGTAATTTTGTCCAATGTGGTTGAGTTGCACTTGTTAGTGATGATACAGAGTCATGCAGTTACCATACGTTGGCATGACAACTGCAATAGTTTCAGAGCATATTATTATAATAATATGCTATTTCATATTCGTACGTTTTATCTTTCACTTTCAGGTCGTACCCTCTATTGCAGGCCTTTGCCAAAGCCGGCATGGCAAACAGGTTGTTGGTCCAGAACGTGCGGTGCATCACTGTTATTCACGGTGACATTAACAAACTCTCAGTTAAAGTAAAGAAGTTTGTTGAAGATGGAGTAAGGTAGGCCTAACTAACAATAAGTAACATGTTGTAACTTGTAAATGCATTGAATATGATCATGTGCTATATCTATCACATTAATTATGTATTGTGACCTTTCATTCTAATATATGTATCATTGTATACTGAATGTAAATATGTCTTATGCACAAATAAATTATTTGAATCTTGAATCTTGAATCTTGATCATGTAAAATCTTATTTTGTGTTGTCTATCTCATTCGAGTAATTGTTTCAAACAGATTTCCTGGCTGTTCTCATATTTTGTATCCATATTTTAGTTCTCATATTTTAAGTTTAGTTTCTTTGTTTCTGTCATTCCGTATTGGAATTCTCTTCCTTCATCTTTGGTAAATTGCAAATTTGCAACTTTTTCCAATGCAATCCACAGTGTTGATCTATTGATTTCTCTCGCCCTCTTTTGTTATAGGATAAATCCAATCCATGATAGGCTACATGGTTCGCACAGTCTTTGAAAAGTCCTTGAATTTGAGGGGAGTCTAGGGTTCTCCCTACGTTGCGCAAACGGGGCGCGCGCGCGCCCCGTTTGGGGAAACTCCCCCCTGTTTCAATCGTTGCGCCCCGTTTAAATTACCTCCGCCCCGATTAAATTCCACCACAATAAAAGTTTGACAGCGCGGGAATCGATCGTCAAGAATTCCCATTCGACCAGGACGACCGACGCGTGTATTTTTACCGTACCACGCATGCACTGCAGACCATACACAAGTACAAACAGTTAACCTGGCCCGAACCCAACACTAACTGTACACTGACTCAGCTATCTTATATATACAAGAACCCCAGATACCGTCTATGGTGTGGTGGCGATTTTACGCATTAATTAGTGGTACGGTTAAAAAACACCCCCCAACCCCCCTAGTTCTCCCTTCCCCCCAGACATGTTAGAAGCGTTATATACAGGAGTGTAGAGGTACATGCAGGATAAGAAAATGGGTTAAAATAATCGGCTAGTAAGCTTGTTTCTGTGTATAACGCGATAAAGTCTGATAAAAGTCCTGAATTCCGCTAAAAGTCCTGAAAGTCTGAAAATCCTTGGAAAATTCAGTCTCGTACGAACCATGGCTAATCCAAGTGAGACAAAAAGACGGAGTGGTGATTTTTCCTGTATGCCTTAGGCTCTACCAGCAAAAGCCCCTTCACTCCTGCTATAAGGAGCTGAGCAGGACCAGGCCACACTGAGACACTAATAGTGTCCCAGTGAACATACTTGGCATACACGTCAGCGATGCTGATCTGTATGACTATAATTAATTGACATGATCACTTGCTCTACAAGCCTAAAATTTCCGAATTTTCTCTACACCAACAAAGACCCTGTTTTCTAAATCCTTAGAAAGCTCCTTATTGTATCTTCAGCTGCATAAGCTTTCAAATAAATATTACAAGCAAAAAGGCACTCTAAATATAACTATCGCGACGCACGACAAGTCAAAGAGCAGAACATTGGGTGCGTTGATTTCAGTTTGTGTAAGCCAACAACATACACATCGGATGGCAGGATCAGAGAAGAACACATCATAACATCCTTACAAACGCATGGTCAAAAACGAAGAAATAAAACGGTAAGTATTGAAAAGTAGCTGAGCACTGTCTCAGAGGGCCTGATCTTCTGAACACAGGGCTTCCCACAGCCACTGAGAGTTTGCTTTGTCCTGAACCCCATAAGTTGCATTTTCATGAAGTCCTTGGAATATGATTTTACTATCGAAGTCCTGAACGCATTTTGACCTAAAAATAAAAACAAACCTTCATGCTGCTTATCTGACTGACCCTATTCCAAGTCTCAAATCCAGATAAAAAAGAAATGACCAGGCAATCAAATTCACCACGCCATTGCTACCAAAATAATCCAATCACCCAATCAATCCTCAATCTAATCCAAAATCACGGCCCATTGCCTACTCTACAAAATAGTCTATTTGTCGCCTGATACGTGCGTGTATGGTAGGGGAGGGGTCAGCTCAGAATAAATCATCAATTTCTAATAAGTATATTGCGTTGATGTAATAGTTTCAGATGTGTGCTGCACAAGGTAATTGTGTGATTTGGGTAGGAACATATACACTGAGTAAATAAATAAAAAATGGCTAAATAGTCACAAAGTTAAAGGTACCGTGACTCTAGGCTAGGTATTCAGTAATTTACGTAAAATTAACGCTCCAATCAAAAAGTCATGTCAATCACCATAGAATATTATTAAAAAATGTTTAAAACTAACGACAACAGTTGAACAACCGATGTGCGCCAAGCGAGATAAGAGCCGTGAAAATCTGGTATTTTCGCCGAAAACCGACTCGAGATCACTGTTTACTGCGACTGTCTCTCGCTTTGAGATAACTTCGGGAAACCTCGCGTGTTTTTGTCAATGATTGACAAATGGAATGAATGACGTCTGTTATTGATTGCCATAGTGATGACCTCCACCTGTGCCCACCTCACGCTAGATGTATAGTAAACTCTGTAGTACTGACGTGAGTCAGCGCTACCATGGCGCTACACAGCGGCGACCGGAAGCAATACACTGGCTGCAAAGCGAGAAAGGGTCGCAGTAAACAGTGATCTCGAGTCGGTTTTCGGCGAAAATGCCAGATTTTCACCGCTCATTATCTCAGCGTAGGAGCATCGTAGGGACAAGTGGTTTGTTTTATATTAGCAAGGTAGGACAGCTGATCAATAATACTGCAAAGAATCGTCAAAATAAAACGAGTAAAGTTTCTTAATTCGACCAATACTGCAACATGGTTTCAGCCTTTTACCGTTGTACGCTTTCCTTCTTTATACGCTCTTGATATAATTGCACTTTTGTGATTAGCCCTCGGTCTGTAACGTGCAAAATATTTTGCCAAATGCGCAACTTTTCAGGGTGGCAGCACGGTCGCGGGTGTCATGTCAGCACCCAAAAATGAAGATTTCGAAATTCAATGTTGTTTTATGGCAAACGTGAATACGTAATTATAGATATTTATAGGTATGTGGCATGTGCTATTATTTATAAATCTACTATCAAAATATACTCTCAAATCTAGAGTAAAGTATTCCTTTAATATTATTTGTTTGTTATAATATGTAAAGATTTTGGATAAGGAGAACATGTATGGCCCTTGATTGTTTCTTCTGTGGGTTGGAGGCTGAAGAAGATCTTTAATTTTACCAGCTTAACAAATATTATTAGCAAGACATTTATGGAGAATTAATTAAAGTAGTGCTCACATTGAACTAGGCTGTGAAACAATTATTTTAACTTTATATATGAATCTATAGTATATATGATGACTCTAAAAAGCTAAAACTACATGTCACTGATTGTCCTAGAAAAAAACATATATATGTCCTTGAAATGTTCTTGAAAAGTCCTTGAAAAATATATTCATCATGGGTTGGAGGCTGAAGAAGATCTTTAATTTTACCAGCTTAACAAATACTATTAGCAAGACATTTATGGAGAATTAATTAAAGTAGTGCTCACATTGAACTAGGGTGTGAAACAATTATTTTTACTTTATATATGAATCTATGGTATATATGATGACTCTAAAAAGCTAAAACTACATGTCACTGATTGTCCTAGAAAAAAACATATGTCCTTGAAATGTTCTTGAAAAGTCCTTGAAAAATATATTCATACTTGTGGGAACACTGTAAAAGAAAGCATTTGTATTTTTCAACAGTATACAAATGCTTTCTTTTACAGTGTTCCCACAAGTATGAATATATTTTTCAAGGACTTTTCAAGAACATTTCAAGGACATATATGTTTTTTATATATATATGCAGTATAAAATATGACTGCTTATTACCAAATTACTTCAAAATGCCTGTTGGCAGTACTTCTAAAATTTCCACAGTCCAATTAAACAGGTCTGTTCATATTATTATATATAAATTTTAGAAGTACTGCCAACAGGCATTTTGAAGTAATTTGGTAATAAGCAGTCATATTTTATACTGCATAAATCTTTTGCCCAGGGGTGTGTTGCTGAGCAGTACTGTAATAGGAGTCATCCTAATATCACCGCAGCAACAGTTGCGGGAGCTCATATATATTCCTGCTCATCATAAAAAGCATGGTGTCTTATGATACCACAGCCTATATTTTGCATTAGATGTCACTTATGTGCTCTACATTTATATCTATCCACATGCTGTGTAAACAAATATAGCTGTTTACTCGGTCATGCACAGACACTAGTAAAATCTACTAATTAATGTGCCAGCTTGGAATAGATCGTTTGTTTCTACAGGTATGCTAATCTAATAAAACTAATCGAAATTTATATCCTTGTCTTCACTGGGCACCATGGTGTCCTGGGTATTACAAGTTCTTGCACGTACGGTTTCCTGCCCCAGGCTCCATTTATAACCATGTGTAACCCGGTTACGTGCACTACAAGGCAATAACAGCTCCAGGATCCCAGTGTGTATCCTTGAACTTTCGTTAGCTCTGGGTGTCGTATACGGTTTGCTGAGGTGTATAAATATAGTGTTGTCACGTGATCTGGGTGCTTGGCCTAAAAGTATAGCAGGGTTTGAAATGCATGCCATCCCGATGATCGAAGTATTTGTCTGTACACAACGTGTGTACTGGTCTTTTAGCGTAACAGAAGTAGTTGCATTGCACTGAAAGTGACAGCAGTAACAGGCCGTAATAAATAATGCAAATAAAATGATTGTTTAAGATCTTATTGCTGTTTCATCAATAATGAACTATTACATATTCCACTTATTTAACTTTAAGGTCAAGATAGGAGCGTTTCCCTATAAATATATTAAAATAAAAGTTAGGTTAGGTAGTTTAAAATTGAAATGTTAGGTTAGATAAGATACCCTTTGTCTTTCCTATTTAGTGACATAATTATATTCTTATAAAATTTAAAAAAGAATACATTCATAGTATGAATTTTAATTTTTAAGTTATCAGAGATATACGATTGCTCTACAAAGTAGAAATTGCTAGAAGCCCGTAGTCAGGTATATATAGTGTGTTTTGCAGCACAGGAAAATGGGATTGTCAGCTGCCCAAATAATTGTAGGAAATTTCTGTATCTCATGATCTGAATTGTTGGTGTACACACATTGAATTGTAACCTCATGTTACCTTGCAGCTGGCTAACCCTTACAGACCCAGCCGATGTGGCCCGTGTTGAGAGCAAAACCTTTGTAGTGACACCTGCACAGCGTGACGCTGATCACAATTAAGTAAAACCCTTCTAAAACAAACTGTCTGGGGGGCAAGGACGGTAAACTACGGGGGGTTGCGGGGCGTGTTTTTTAACCGTACCACTAATTAATGCGTAAAATCGCCACCACACATAGACGGTATTTGGGTCTTGTATATTATAAGATAGCCGAGTCGTTGTACAGTTAGTGTTGGTTCGGGCCAGTTAAATGTTTGTACTTGTGTATGGTCTGCAGTGCATGCGTGGTACGGTAATAAATACACGCGTCGGTCGTCCTGGTCGAATGGATTCTGACGATCGATTCCCGCGCGCTGTCAACTTTTTATTGTGGTGGAATTTAATCGGGGCGGAGGTAATTTAAACGGGCGCAACGATTGTGAAACAGGGGGGAGTTTCCCCCAAACGGACGCGCGGTGGAGCGCGCCCCGTTTTGCGCACGTAGGCAGAACCGCTAGACTCCCTCACAATTCAGGACTTTTTCAAAAGACTGTCCGAAACCATGTAGCCTATCTATGGATTGGATTT